TGTGGTCGGCGAGGTAAACCAAAAGTGGTGCATGCCAACAAGCTTTGGCGTTATCACGGTCCAGGACATTTCAGTTGGGATGAAGTGGACAACAGAACAAATGATGCTGCTGAAGACGTGCCACATGAAGAAGCCACCGTCAAAGAAGAAACTCTACTCAGTTTTGAGAAGGGAAATGGTTAAGCTCTTGATGAAGTTACTACCACTGATGTGACTGTTACCAACGATAGGACATTTCCTGATGAAGCAGATGAACCCCACATGAAGCAGAAGCCAACAAGATGGAGATCAGTACGGAAGAAGATACGTCCCGTAAAATTAAGAGACTTTATTGAGTTGTAATTTTGTGATTGTATTTCTGTACATTTACTTAGGTTATTGTTAATTGTTATTGGTTTATTGTATGTGGTTATTGTTCGGGACGAACAATATTAAGGAGGGGGCAGTGTTGCGTCAGCGAGATCATGTGACTATTCTCACGCCACCTGCTTTCTAGAACTATCCTGTACCTTGGCAAATGCTCTAGCATTTACTAGATATAGTGTAGTGTGGTATATAAAAGAGGGTGACAACGTGACGGGAGAATAATGTGTGTGTAGATAGTGAGTAATTGAACTGCAGTCAGAAGTATTGTTGACGTTCGTTGATATTGCGTTTGTTATAGAGCAACTGTTGAAAATAAGTGTATTGTAAAGTTATATTCGGAAAGAATAAACCAGTTTTATTAAGTAAGGACTTGTGTCGCTAAAGTTTCGTCGGAACGAAGTTACGGAAAGTTAATTAACGAACGGAGACGTAACAATATCTTGGAAATATGTGCAGAGTTCAAAATCTGATAACTTGGTTCTTCACACAAATTCTGACTCATCCAGTTCAGTTCAGCTTACAAGTAGTTCACTACATATAAACTGAATTTTGCTTTTGAGACAGCATTATTCAATGTCTCATTTATTTTACAAATATTTGTATATAATGATACTTAGAACACACATTTACTGAACATTTTCATAAAATAACTCATTTTAAAAGCATTTGCTTTTTTTTCTCTTAAAGATAACAATATTTAACTTTTCAATATACATAAATTTTTTGCATAAAACTTCAATAATATAAAGTTTTTGTAAATCAAAGGATTAGAAATATGTTTGATGAGTAAGGTACAATCAATAAATACAAAATCATAATGAATGAAACATGATTCTTCAAGTTTATTGTCACAACCAGCTTTAAAGTGGAAACGTTTCTTTTACGTAATTAAAACTATATCATTTCACACACCATAGGAGTAGGCAATCTTCAGGTTAGGTATGATTAATAACAATTACAAATTTAAAACTTAACAGTTATACTTGCTTGTGTACACATTAAATTATAAGTGTTTAACATTGGTAGCAATCAATTACTGGTAAAATTTCTACAATTTTCCTTCTGTTGTTGTTGTTTGTTGAATTTTGTGCTTAGCTACTTGAGGGGTATCAGGGCTAGCCATTCCTAATTTTGAAGTGATAGACTAGAGGGAAGGTAGTTAGTCAAAACAACCAATGCTAATTCTTGGACTGCTCTTTACCAACAAATAGTGAAATTGATTACCACATTAAAATGTTCTCATGACTGAAAGTGCAAGCATGTTCAATGATGGGGGGTTCAAACTCATGACCCACGGATTGTGAGTTGAGTGCCCTAACTACCAGGCCATGCCACAATTTTTCCTTCTGTTGAGATTAGTTTCACTTCCCAGACTTTTAATGTTGTTTTCAGATATGGAGTGTTTGTTTCTTTCTAATGTTAAAAAAAGATTCTTTTTAAAGTGTTTTCTCCCAGTTTCACCTAAATAAAATCATATACATGTGTCACATTTGACTTAATGCCACAAAAAATTTAAAATAAAGTTGCAATTAAAAAATGCTAAAAATAAAAATTAATATTATAACAGAATTTTAAGTGGAGCATAACACAGATAATACCAGGTAAATTTGCTTGAGAAACAAATATTAAACCTTAAACTGCAAAACTCTTAACCAATCAATAAGCTTTATTCAGTATCCATTATGGAATATGAACTAATATTATATCATAATAATTTACAAAAATTTTGAACTTTATTGCAACATTTTTGGCTAGAAAAAGAAAGTTTTTCTAAATGTGAAATCTGCATATACTAAATTCACAGGTACTTAAATATATATTTCAAGTACTTTTTCTTTTAATTTTCATGCAACTTCTAGGTCTGAAATGCTTATACATATCATAACAAATCATGGTAGAGTCATATCAACAAGTTTGTTTGGGTCTGTTTTGAATTTCATGTAAAGCTACACGAGAGCTATTTGCATTAGCTGTCCCTAATTTAGCAGTGTAAGAATAAAGGAAAGGCAGCTGGTCATCACTGCCCACCTCCAACTCTTCAGCTACTCTTTTATGAACAAATAGTGGAATTGACCATCACATTATAACACCCCACAGCTGAAATGGCAAGCATGTTTGGTGAGACAGGGATTTGAACCCGCAACCCGTAGATTGCGAGTTGAGCACCCTAACCACCTGGCAATGCCAGGCTCCATATCAACAAGTAGTTACATAATTATATTAATGTAATTCATTGACATTTGCAGGCCTAGACAATAATTTTAATGTGTGCATTCAACAACTTACAATTTTACAGGCTTATATGATTTTTAAATTTACACGATTTAATTAATTAATGAAAATGCTTAAGACAACAAGGTAGATATGAAATTGGCCAAAATAATATGTATAGTATGCACAAAATGCTAGTATCCCAAAATAACATAATAAAACGCTAGACTGGTTTCTTACAATATTTTTTTAACAAGTAAACAAACTGTTAGAATATGCTACTTACCTTATGACTATTTTCATGATTCTTGAAACGTGTGTAATAATGAACAAATCGTTTCAGCTCTTGCATCTGTTTATTTTTTGCCTCTGCCTAATACAAATGAAAAAAGTATAAAATCTTTAATAGCCAAAACACCAAACAGAAGAATATGTAACTGCTTTTTTAAAATATATACACAATCTAAATACTAAAATCTTTAGTTTACTGCTTAAACAAAAAATTAATAATTAATTAATACCTTTCCTCTTTAGATGCAGGAAAATACGACAGTTTATATTTGATATAAAAAACAAAAGTACAAATACCACTAGAAAATATTAACTTTGTAAGATTAATTTTTGTAAGATACATTTCATGTTACATAACATATAGACAAAAAGGATCACTTAGTCCTTTAAAGCTATCACTTCACAACCACTCTTGAGAAAGGGAAAAACTTAAACCAACCCTCTATTTTACAGGAAATTATCAATTCTCTCTTTTATACTCTTGTAAAGTGACAGTCTATAGTACAGCCAACAGGAACACATTCCATAAGCTAACCACCCTGATATAAAGAATAAAACTGCTTTAACTGGAGCCTAGCCTGTTTTTAAGACTCTTACACTTGTATTTTCTTCTCCCACTATTTTCAGAATATAGTAAAAAGAAATTAGAAGCTTTTGCCCTATCAATCCTCCAGTTAATCTTGAAACATCAATGCGACTGGCTCTTATTTTCAAGTTAAGAACTCTTTAAATATTCCTCAAGATCACTCTTACATCTCCAGAATCATTACACTAGCCCTTCTCTGAAGCTTTTCCAATTAAGTCAATATCCTTTCTTAGCTAAGGAGTACAAAAACGTATGAGGCCTGTGAGAAAAGTATCCGACCT